ATCATGTTTTCTTCCATAATGAGTGTTGTAAGAAATGAAAACACATCAGCTATAAGAGTGAAACGCCCATGATAAAACCAAAATAGATGAAAACTCCGTTCACCCTGGCTGGCAATGATAACACTAATAACAATGGGAGTAAGGGTAATGTAATCTGAGCCTCTTTATTCAATTTCATCAAGCAAACAACAACTGATGTGAAAAACAGCTTCATAACCTCAACATTATGGTTGAAACTAACTGCCAGGAATCTCAAAGAAATATTTTCAATCATCACCGACACACAAAATACAAAATTCAAAGCCGAGATTTTGAGGAATTGAACCCTAGATCGACTGGTTTGCCTGATGACCATCTTTATTCACGCAACCATGATGTAGATTAACAAAGAACACGCTGTCATGTGACACATGGTTAAGAAGATTGGGTATTTGAAACCATACTTTCTGAGTAAATATTTGTTCAACAACAAGACCCTGATGTAACTGCCTGATGAACAAAGTAATTATGTATAGATAGCTCGACTGTCACTGTTTTACCCTTTTTATTCTTCATATCTTTCTGTCTCATTGGAAATATTTTCTCAAATCAATGATCTTTAACACATGATGATATGGGCCTTCAGCATGTCCCAACATTGCTGATACGAACGTTCAAAAAATGCATCAATAGTACTAATTCTGATTGAAATGGGTTTTCAGCATGCCCCGATATTTTCTTCTTGTTAATCTGAGCCTTCAAAATGCCCCACATGGATCTGTCTGAAGGAACCTCTAAAACGCCCCAACATTTGCTGATACAGATGTTAAAAGTGTGCTCAACATTACTTCTTGTTGAGATGAGCCTCCAAGAATGCCCAAATATTGATATTGTTGTGAGCCTTCAAAATGCCCCAATATTCTATTTCTTGTTGAAATGGGCCCTCAAGATGTCCCTCTAGATCTGTCTGATTCACTCTCAATGTCTGTTTGACTAAAATATCATGATCCCCACGAGGTTCAATTTTGACAATGAACTGTTGTAGGTACTTGTAGCTTTATTCGTGCCCCAAATCTGTTTATCTTGAATACTCTCATTCTGGAGTCACTAAACAGTAGTATTGTCAAGTAACTAGAGAAATTCTCTTCTTGTTGTCACAAACTTAAGAAGTACACAATCATTCTGACAGAAACGTCTGAGATATGTGTCTTCTGAATGAGGTGACCATTTTCTGTATTTGGAGGGATTTAGTCAAACAGAGCAGTATAAATAGCTTGGTAATTCATTCCAGGCTGACATAGTGAACCTTGTTTTCAGTGAAGGCTATTTCTAGAATATACTTTTCTGTGGGAGAGAACCCAATTTATGTGAACAATAATCTGATGCAATAGCAAGACTACATATACAGCGGTACAGGCTTTTGAAAAATATACACTCATGCAACATGTTGATTCTGATAACTACTCATCTGATTATGAAGTGATCTTTCAGGATGATTTCAAAGATATTGATAGTTCTTCTGATACCGAGGAAATCTTGATTTCTGATTTTGATAAGGAGAATAAACTGTTATACTTGACGAAAATGAGGTACTCAGAGGCTGAGGCTTCAATAACCATGGAGAGATGTGGTCCAGATTCATCAATTGCAGAGTTGACAGATTTTATATGTGATGCTCAAATGGCTAAGTCTGCTGACGCACTTCTTCTGGTAGAATATAGGAAACCATTATGCAATGACTCCAATTACAAGCAAAGGTGAAACTCAGCTATGATTTTTGGAAAAGGAAGCAGCAAAGGAAGCTTTAAAAAGAAGCTTCTTAATGAAAATGATCACACAGTTCATCTTCTAAATCTAATGATTAGTTTTGGGGTTTCTACTGAACCAGATCAGATAACTCAAATAATCACTTTCAGAAGATGCTATTGGGTCTCATTATTTCTACTATGAGAACATGACACTTGCTCCAGTTGGTGTTTGGACCGAAATGTCATGGTACTCATACGATGCAGAGCCAAAATTTGTAGATTCAAAGTATTTTTGTGTTGCTAGAAAAGGGGCTACATTCATAATCTGCCAATTGAGAACATATTTCCTCTTATTCCACTTCCTCCACGCACCATACATGATGATTTTCCATTGACAAAGAAATGGTGTCCTTCATGGGATCCAAGAACAAAGTTAAATTATTTGCAAACATGTACATGAAGTTCCAAAATTGACATAAATGATCTGTAAGGCTATTAAAGCTTATGACGATGAGCCACATTTGAGTATCCAGAAGTATGTTCTTGATGAGTGCCAAAAATGGAATCCGATATGGGTTGGAAGGAATAGAGTTACTCCACTTGAACCTGATGAGGTGGAAATGCCTCTAGGTTTCCCTAAAAACCATACACGAGGAGGATCTGCTAGAGACATGTTCCCCGGTGGTATCAATGTCCTGTCTCTTTTCTCTGGAATCAGTGATGCAGGGGTTACCTTCTACTGTCTTGGCATACTTTTGAAATCAAAGGTGCAAAAACTGAATGGTGATCAGTTGGAGCAATTGATGAGTAGATTTGCCGAATTCGAATTCATTGTTGGTGACGTTCTGTGTAACAACCTTACCGGAAGACATAAATATCATCAGGATGAACTAAAAGATTTTTGTTGGTGTCTTTTCTTGCAATGACTGCTACAGTGGTTGCCTCCTTTGTTGCTACAGTGGGCATCATAAGTTCAATTCTCCAAACTTTATGGCTTCTCAGACCACTTGATTTCAAGAGTGCTTCATTATTTTGGTCTGACTTATTATTTCTCTTAAATAGAGGTAGAATAGGCAACAACTTGCTTCAAGGACCTTCCTCATTTGAGACTGTCCTGTTTGAAAATGTTTTTTCTCCTTTCTTTATCGAAGAATGAAAGAATTTTGTAAAATATTGTCTATCTCAGGTTCATAATAAAATCAAATCATAAGCATGAATTCAAAGAATATCAAAAGAATCAACAATTCTTTAATGTTTGAGATTATAGTTCTTTGACAAGTATCAAGATTTGGTTTGGTTTCAGGATGGCTTTCCTATATTTTATGGTTACATCTATTTAAGATGTCACTCATCTATTGCTCTTTGTGAACTTTTTCACATGCCTCACTTTGAGGATTTGGTATTTTAACCGGATACATACAAAATGACGCAACTAGGATTGTCAATTACTAGACATTCTAGAGTCCTTCCATTTCAATTCTCTGGAATTTTTCATTTATACTCATCTAATCAAAGTAGTGCGAAAATATCGGTCTAAAAATGAAATTTCTGAGTGCTTGTGTGAAGTTGACTATAACAGGTGTTTTGTAACTCCCTTAGTCCATTTGTTAACACATTTGCCATTTTGGCTAGATGAATTCAGCTTTATTGTATATAATAATATAATCACCTTTATCAGGTTAATTCAAACTTATCCATAAAGCTGGGGCGATTAACCAATTGCTCTAGAGGGACAGTTTTATTGCATATAATAGTATAATAGGCTAGCTGAATATTATCCATAAAGCCAAGGTGATTAACCAATTGCTCTAGAGGGACAACTCAAGCTTTATTGTATATAATAATATAACATGGGTGTTCAAATCCAATTTCTTAAGCTTGTTAAGAAGAACCTGTTATAGTCTAGGTGTTTTGGTGGAATTCAGAAAATCTCTTTGTTAGAGTTCAATTCTCAAACAACTGACTTAAACTAGATTTACCTATTTGTGAAGATTACGTTCATCATTGAACGTCATCAATAGAAAAATACTCTAGTCGGTTTTGTAATGTAATATACCAATGATGCCCCATGTTGTACGCTCCTATATATAAATACCAAGCCATTTTGTAATTCCTTTGAATGAGAGTAGGATATCTCATATTTGTATTAGGATAGTGTTTGGGTATATTTTATTTGAGGTAAGATCAAGGGTCCTTGTTTTTCTGGTTTTCAATCTTGATATTCTTGTCAAAGATTATAACTCTAATCATGAAGAGTTTTTTAATCTAGTTGATATTCAAAGAACTGCAAGATTGCAAAATTGACTCAATGCTCATAACCTTAAAAGCAACACAAAATTATTTATTGCACAAAAGGCGAAGAAAGGAACAAAAACAAGTGCAAACAAGATGCTGAAAATAAAAAGGTACTATAGTGGTAGATAATACTTCCACTTGTTTATGCATCATTACTCCTCTAATGTTGGGTGTGTATTTGGCCCAAGATTTTCCTCATTTCCCCCCATTTCTTGATCATCTTTTGTGTCAACTTCTTTGGGTAAGCCTTCAGATACACAACTCTTTGCTTTATTCTGAGCAGTCTCCATCATCATTCTTTTCTTCTCTAGCTGGTAATTGAGCTCATTTTTGGATTCAGAACAACTTTTATTAAGGATGATAGCCTTGTCCTGATTCTGAACACATATTGTGGCTGTAATTAGAGTAATATTCACCAGACTCTTTGTATCCAGACTCTTTTCACTAGTCTTCAGAAAATATGATATAGGCGTTTGAGGTTTCTTCAGAGTTTCATCTTTCCCATTCATTCTTAAACCTATGTGCCAGTCTCGAATTACCTCTCCTTTTACTATTTATCATTTATAATCAGAGAAGTATTGAGAGTTGAACGTTTTATCTTTGGCTTAAGTACTTTATTTTCTTCTTCCTCTGCAGCATGTACTTCACTTGTTTTGATACTATCAACTCCACTTTGGGGTTTGATTCTCGATTATTTAACCAAAATAGACTGATCATCCACTTCTATGATTCCCTGAACCAGAAGGTCTTGAACTCATCATTTGAAGCGACCACAATTCTCAATGGAGTGTCCTCGGGCTCCAGCATGATAATCACAAAAGAGTTTCTCATTATACCAACTCGGGTATGAAAGCCACAAAGGCTTAGCTCGACATGGAGTAATAATCTGGGCTTTGAGTAACTCAAGATATAACTTGCTGCACGGAATTGAAGGAAACTTGGGTAGAATTTCCCTTGACATCATTGTCTCCTTACAATTGCTTACTTTGCTTTCTTGAAGACCATGTGAATGATGATCAAAATGTTTGCTTTGAATGTTTGACTCTTGAACATCATGAGACAGACAATAATTCAAAAATTTCTCTTTCTCGACCAGTTTTGAGATTTTTAGGATCTTAGGTTTCCCATCTTCAAAACATAGCAATCCTTCTGTTATAAGAACTTGGACCTTTAAATTAACAATCCTACAATTCTCCGTAGAGTGGCTAAACTCTCCAGAATGATAATTGCATGAATTCTTGACACCCTTCCAATCTGGACGTAAATAAGTATTAGGCCTTGGAGGAATTTGTGTTATGAGGTCATTTTCAAAAAGAAATGGTAATAAATCTGAATATGGGATTGGAATTGGAATGAGAGGTATCATTTTCTTTTTGCCTTTCTTAGCTTTCTTCAATGTCTTTTGAACCTCTTCTATGCTTCGCTTTAGCTTGATCTTTGTTGCCTTTTCTGAGAGCTTTATTGGATTTCCACATCTCTTGACGAGTTCTTGGTTGTTTGTTTCTATTACATCAGCTACATCATTCATAATCCAATTCAAATCTTTTATAACAGGATCCTCTAAGGGTTTCTCTCCATGGATTACAATATTCAACAGGTCCATCAATTTGGTCAGTTGTTCCTTTGAATCATTCTGGAATTTTTTCACTTGATCAGTCATCTTTTGTTGTGTCTCGATAAATTGCTCTTGTAGTTTCTCGATTCTATCAACCCTTGCTAAAATCTCATTCATGGCTATTATCCTTCTTTAGGAAGACCAAGTTAACTCCACTTTGATTATGTCCTGGAATTCTCCACGAATTATTCCACGTTGTCATGATTAAATGCATGTAGAATAGTTTGAAATAAAATGTAATTATGCAAATATGCAAATGCAAAAATGAAAATATAAATATAAACGTAAAAATGAAAAAAAAATGCTAAATGTAAATGCAAATGTAAATATGTGAATGTAACAATAAAAATGCAAATTGTGCAATACAAAAGCAAACATAAAAGTATAAATGAAAATGTAAAAATGCAAAATGCAAATGCATGTATGAAAATGTGTCATTCAAGAGTGATCATCTTAGAACAGATTTCGTTGAACACAAAAGTTTCCTTGCATCAAACAAAATTTTACATATAGAGGACAACTTTCAATCCTAAAAACTTTACATATAGGAGATAACTTTCCTATTTTCTTCTTTAAAGCCAAGTTAGTTTATCAGCTTATGGGCCATATTACTTGTCTGTATTGCAGCTTTTTCCATGTTATTCTCTTTCATCTTTTATATCAGTTCTTGGAGTTGCTCATTTTCCCTTGTAAGAGAACCTTTCTGTCCAAGAAGTTCTTGGATTAGATCTTCATATATGTTGCAGTTCTTTTTCAGTTTGGTAACCCCTGTTATCCACTCTTCTGGGGTATCTCCTATGCCAGCATTTTGAAAAGCTTGACTGAGCTTTTGGAAATCTTCATGCATGGTTTCCACTTATGTGCTCAATTTCTTGTTTTGGTCATTCAAGTTCTTCAAATAACATGCATGAGCTTCATAAAAACCTCCTCTACTCTGAATGCCCTGACTGATACTCTTACCATAGACTGCTTTTGGTATCAATCTGGCAGGATCTTTGTGGAGTACTTTTGGTATTAATATAACAGGATCTCTGTGTGCATTGCTTGCTTCTATCCTCGAAGTTTCCTCAGGATGTCTTTCCTTGGCCGCATCATATTTTGTTTGATCATAAAACTTTTTGTCCATTTACGATTTGTTTCCAATTTGATGAACAGTCTTTCAAGTCAACACCTTTTGGTTATGCCATGATCATGTAATGCAAATGAAAGAAATCAATATAAACAAGTTAGAGCAAAACAAAATGTATGAAAAATAAAAATGGGAAGGGAAAAAATAAATTGGTTAGTACCAAGAAAGATTTTATCTATCAAGGTATATAATGTATCCTAACCTCATGCTTTCTAGTTCCATGCTTTGTTTGGAAAAATTAACCTAACTGCATGATTACTAGTTCGTATGCATTTATTCAGAGAGAAAAATAATAAATTAAAAGCTAAAGCTTATTTCTCCTTTATGTACACTTACGGACAGAGGTTCAGTACTGTCTTAGATCAGGAGAATTTTTAGGGTTCATTATATGCAGGGTTTTGGTTCTAAGGGTAAAGGTACTCGAACTGTCCTTGTTGATGCCCCCTTGGACTACCAACCCTCAATTCTAGTCCATCACAGACTTAAGCGGACCGAGTTCAATTCGAGGGGACACATTTCTTTATGCCTGGCACGGAGAATAAATTCTCAAGAAGAAATAGAGCATATAAACCCCGAAAGCTACTTGCTAGGTCTGACACGTAGAATAAATTCTCATGAAGACGTCGCTTTCACTCCCACTTAAAAGGGACAAGCTTGATTAAAAAGCTTATGTTATGCAATGCATGTGTTTGTGTGTGAGGAGAAATGTTCAAACCTCTGACAGACAATAAATAATAAAATTTAATACTTGAAAAAAAAATAAAACATTAATAAAATAATATAAATATTATGAAAATAATAAATATATATATATAAATTTTGAAAAGAAAGAATTAAAAATTAAATATATGAATTTTTAATTTTCTAATTGATAGAGACAATTAATAATTGGTTTTAAAGTTTGACCAGTCCCCAGTGAAGTCGCCAAGCTATCGGAAAGGGTTTGTCCATGCGTGCAAATTACGCATATATCCCTACCCAGAACGACGTCATTTGGGAGGGGTATATAAGACCCGAATGGCCGGCCCTTCGGGCCATTCTCTTTATTCTCTTATTTCCCTCTTCTCTCTCAAAAATAAGAGAACCAGAGTTCTCTCTGGCTTCTCTCTAAAATGAGAGAACACAGTCCCGGTCAGCCACCGCTGCCGGCCACTGTTAACGGTGGCCAAAAAATTCTAAAATATACCAAAACGAAGCCCTAAATACCCTAAAGCCAAAACCGAGGCTCGTTTAGCCTAAAAATCCTTAACCCGACCTAGATCTAAGCCTATTACCTTAGGTATTTTGGTTTTTTAACAGCGTAAGGAGGCTCCGATGACAATAATCTCCTCGGTAAGTCTCTCTCTCTTTCTCTTACTTTCTGTTTTTCTCTTGGGTTGTTGTCGTGGTTGTTATCTATGTATTCTTTTGTGGCTTTCTCCGTTCTTGCTCGCTTTACTCTCCCTGTTCCGTTTGTTGTTTGTTGTGGACTCTTGCTCTCCGTTTTTTCTCTGTTGCTTTCTTCTCTTTTTTTTCTGCAGGTGGTCGATGGCTTTTATAGCCATCGACGGTGTAGCTCTCGGACCGGTCCCAAATGGAGACCCTACGTGAGTCACCGGACTATAGTGGTGACTCACCATAGGGCTTCGACGTGGGGAGGGGCAGCTGGCCTTCTGGAAAGCTCGGTGAGGTGGCGTAGCACTGACGGCGGCGTGGCAGTAACTAAAGCGTTAACGTAGAGGTAGCGGCTGAGCAGAGGCGGCGGCTGGCCTTTTGGAAGATTGAGGCGACTGGGAGCTAGGGTTTAGAAAACCCTAGCTGAAACCTCAAATTGGTTTAAGGTTTCAGTTAGGCCATCTGGTTGGGCTTCCAAATTTGTAATTGGGCCCCGATTTTGGCCTGTTTGTAATAATAATAATTTTAATAATAATAATAATAAATAAAATAATAATAATATCAATAAAAAAAATGGGTAAAAAATTAGTATCTTCAATGATCCTTTGAAATACCAAATAGACCTATTTTATGTTGTTTGTAAGCTGATCGGAAATGTTTTCTTGTTTTTATTCTAGTCCTTTATGTATATACATATTGTGTACATTATGGTTTTATATATTATATTAAATAAATATTATTATTAGCTATATTGATTGTAAATATTTTATTCTATATATTTCCAATCGCATTTTTCCATCGTATTTCTTTATCTATTGATAATGTACTCGAATATTTTCAAGAACATTTATTTGTAGAATGGGCGTGGAAAGCACTACTTGATCGAAGTAGTGTAATCTGATACGACGTTTGAACGAAATATGAACTTGAAAACACAAGCCTTTTTATGTATTTATTAAAATAATGGAAATTTTTTTTATAATATTTTTATTTTATCTTTAATTTTTATTTTCATTTTGTTTTATTTAATGTTAATATTAATGATGTATGTTTTCGGAAAATGAATCGTAATTTATTTCATGCAAAATTTTGATATTAATTTAGAGATAGAATATTCTTTTACAGATAAAAAATAGGTGAGATAGCTTTCCCGATGGAGGATTGCAAATCTGGATATTTCTTGTCCAGTCAAAGAATTTTTTTAAAATAATTAATTCGGAATAAATTAATTAATATTCAATAAATAGATCATAATTTAATTTTCTATTCGAATTATATTTTCCACCATTAAGACAACGTGTAAACGATTAAGTACCAATTTTGGACGCTGTGGGGGTGTTTATCCTTCCCCATGCATAACCGACTCCTGGACCTGTTAAGTCGATTTTTTTTGTAAACGTAGACCAATTTTTATCTTAAAAATGATTTTTTTCTTAAAATTGTTTTAAAATATGTTTTTAGGTATTCGGTCTACTTAACCTAAAAGTCGATGGTGATTCCTATTTAATTTAATTCAAAATCGCCAATTTTTCAAATAAAGTCATAATTTTTTTAAACTTAATTGTTTTAAAAAAATGTTATGACATTAAGAACAAGATCATTCTTACGTAATTGACTTAAAACGTGAAACCCAGCATACCCAAGTCTCTTATGCCATAGGATCACTTAATAAGACTATAATCAAATATCAATCCTAGGCCTCTTTGGAGATGACTGTCCGACACAATTATATTGACTCATTGATATAGTGGGGCTGGGCATCAATCTAATAATGTTGACCAATGAAGGTTGTTGTGGTCTTAGAGTGGTTCTTTGATTCTGCTTATCAGGTTGGCTTGGTGTTATAGCTTGTTGATGGTTCTAACTTGTTGTATGTCTTTTAAAGTGCACCCAAAAACAATAGTGGTAAGCAAATCTAAAAAGAACTCAAGTGCAACAAAAATGTCCTATTATATTTGATTAAGAGAAAATGAAGCTAATTCAAATGTTGAATTCCACTTCATGCTCTCATTTGCCGTATACTATAACTCTTCACGCTCCTTCCAGAAATGGGAAGTTCAATGTCATTTGCCATAGAGTATGTAATATTATTTATTTTAACTCTTGACAGTTATTGCCGAAAAATAACCAATCTGCTTTCATTCTCTCTATATAAAACTCATTCATTCCCATTTCTCCTTCAAAGAAGCTTAAATCCCATTCAAAAAATCCTAACTGGTAATCAGTCAGAATCAAGAAACCTCTGAAATTTTCATCTTTATAATATAACTTTGGGTGTTTCTTGTACTCGGTTGAAACAATCAAAGAAGATCGTTTCTTCAAAGTTGTTTCCTCCATTCCAATGTCGAAGCCTTCAAACCCAAACTACATTGGTTTCTTCTTATGTCATCTTTGCCTTTGCCTTGTATAAACTCTCTCTCTCTCTCTCTCTCTCTCTATATATATATATATATATCTTTTACTATGTGTGTGTGTGTATCCCGATACTATTCTTTTACTAATGCAATTTCGATTCTTGATCGTCTTCTTTGTGGGATAAGTTAACTTCTTTGGAAATGAATATACTAAATAAAAGAAGTTAATTTCTTGTAGGATATAAACATATATTCCCTTTATAAACTGAGTTATAAAATTATGTGGTCTTGAAAAAAAAATACTAAAAAGATTGCTTACTTTGAATTTTTCAGATGAAAGGGACGGTGGATGGAATTCTTTTCGACAATCCGTAAGTTCTAGCTCATTGAAGAACTCAATCACCCAAACTACATTTCATTGTGTAAGAGTAGAGTTATTATAATTTAATCTTTGTGCTTGGTTGATATGTAGTTACAATGAAACGATTCATCGTTCATTATTCCATGGATTGCCAGTCCACAATGTAAGTTGTTTACTTTCTTTTTATGCCTCTGTTTTTGTGGATCAAACACTATCTGAGTGCCTTTTTACACTTAACTGAGTTCAGATTGTGTCTGGTGATAATCAGCCTCGCCCTTATCCATTGCAAGGAAGGTATTTAGTTTATCCGTTAGTTGTTTCCCTTCAAATAGTGAAATCCTACTCTGAATTTAGAAATTTGGTTTCTGAATAAAAATGGCAGTTGCAGGGATCGGATGCTGTTTTGGAATAGATACCACCTCCTTAATGCTGACATAGCCCAACCGGTCAGCCAGATTTTCATTTTCGTTGTGGGAACCGACCAGCGAACCAATGCGGGAACCAATGACGAAACTGGCAAGGGAACCGACGGGGAGACTGACGAGGGAACCAGCGAGGAGACCAATGCGGGAATTGAAGAGGAAACCGACAAGGGAACCAATGCGAGAACTGACGAGGAAACTGGCGAGGGAACCAATGAAGAAACCGACCAGGGAACCGATGAAGAAATCGACCAGGGAACCGACGAGGAAGATTCACAGTAGCTGAAATCTTGGAAAAAAATTGAAAATATGGGAAAACAATTGTTGGTGGACTTCTTGTTCATTTTAGCTTTCATTTTTAGTTTAGTACGTGCCCAAAGCCAACATTTTGTGCAGGGAATCTAATTCAAAGTGAGCATTTTTTTTCTATTTGTTATAGCAATCGGGAAGATAATGTCAAGTAAAACAATCAAGAATGAAAACAAGAATACTAAGGTTTATATGAAAACCCTTAAAAGGAAAAAATCAATAGTAGAATAGAGAAATTCACTGTACGTAATATCAAAATTATAAGAGTCTGTGGCTACAAGGACTCACACACATCCAAAGGTTTTGTCTTGCTACAAGTTTAATCATTATTATATGTTTATAGGGTTAATTAGTTGAAGAGCATTTTAGTTTTATTGATACTAATCTTAAGCCCTGAAATGAGGAAGTAGCCCTCAAACACATCTCGGATTACTCTTAGTTGTTCCATATCCGCCTCAGCAAACAATATCAAATCATCCACGAAAAACAAGAGTGAAATTCCAGGGCCATTCCTCTAGAATTTCATTGGTCTCCGCTTACCAATATCTACTTCAAACTGTATAACTTGAGTCAACTTTTCCATACAAAGGAAGAATATCTAGGGTGAGAGAGGATTCCCTTTCTCTAATCCCTGTTGTGGGGATAAAAGGAAACGTTAAGGAACCATTCCACACTATTTGGGTTGAGACTGAGCTGACCTTATTTCATTCGGTATACCCACATCTTATAATGTATCATCAATGAAAGAAATTCATCCATCCTATGTTTCCTCCTTTTTCTTATTGACAACGTTTTTTGGTGTCTTTCATTTGTTTTAAATTGTATATAATCTGCTCATTCTACCTTGCATTATTTCGTCCTTTCTTATACAATGCAATTTGTTTAGTATATAACATACGGGTGAATTCGGATTTGGTTTTTCAATAAAAGATTAATCGAATCTAAAAACTGAAATTGAAACTAAAATCGAATGACATAAAAGCTATGATTTTTAGTTGGTTTGATTCAGTTTGGTTTTACAATTTTTGATTATTCACTATTTTTCAAATTGGACATCTAAAGAAAATGGACTTAAAGTTTAAACCGAGTGTAAATATATAAGTTTAAATTCATAAAAAAAAATAGTATTAATTTTAAGATTTTATTTATTAAAGTTTGTCTTCAAAATGAATTTATTTTGGATAATTATTTTTTAATTCGATTTAATTTAGAAAAATTAATTTCATATAAAAAAATTAAAACTGAACAAAATTATAAAATTATTAATTCAAATGTAATTCGATTTTTAGTTGGAAAACATTGCTCGGATTTATCTTTTTTGTCGCAGCAATTTTATTAATTCAAAATTAAAGAAATATTTAAATAAAAATATAAATCAAATTTACTTTATTTAATTTTAAGTTTAAAATAACTTATTTTTCTTGATTTTAAAATTAAGGACCTTAAATTTTAGGGGCTAAAGCCTCCCCACCATAAATAGCTCCGTTTCTGTTCAAGAACTTTCAATTTTGTTTCATTTCACCATTAAATATTCAATGTATTTTATAATAATTTTTCGAATATTTAGGATAAATTTTAAATCACTTATGAAACTATTCAAATTAAGCCATATAATTTTTTTTTCAATTTAAATACTTATTTAGGTTCTACCCGTTTTTAAAATTAAGTGAATTAGACCTCATATCAAATACAATGAATAAAAATCATATTTAGCCTCATATGAACCATATCAGCAAAATGAAGGCCATGCCAACCAGCTGCTTCAGAGTTAACCGTCCATAGACTAAAGACATAAATTTGTAAAGTTTAGTACTATAATCACAACTAATTTATGGTTTATCAACCAAAACAGAACTGGGATCAAAGTTTTATGATTAATAGTGTAATTTACCCTAATTTTTATATTAGTACAATGACCGAATTAATCAATTTAATAGTAGAGGGACTACATTGATATAATCCTATAAAAACGGACCTAACAGGTACTTTAACCATATGCTATGCAGTTTAAAGTTTCAGCAATATTTTCCCGCGAGATCCCTTTCAGGTATAACTTAAAAAGAAGCTATTTGGTTTCAAGTTGTTTCTATAAAAGCAAGAAGTCATCCCCATTTCTACTTCAAGGAAGCTTAAATCCATTTCAGAAAATCAAGAAACGAGTATCAAGCAATGAGAATCATTAGATATCACACGAATAACATCAATCGGTTCTTCTTATGCCGTGAATGCAGAACCCACCTCGTCATAATGAATAACATCACTGGACGTGTATGATCTCTCTATCTCTCTCTCTACATATATATATCAAGATTCTTATTTCAATATTGTTAATTCAATTCTTGATTGTGTTCTTTATGGAAATGAATATAGTATATGAAAAGTTGATTTCTTGCAGAACATATATATATATATATATATATATATATATATAAATATATATACACACACATATATATAGGAGAATTATGTTTTCCCCTTTATAAATTGTCATACATGATATTGCAAGAATTCGTAATAACATGAATCAAACTTTCAGATAGCGGGGCCGATCAATGGATACGTCTGCCTCAATCCGTAAGATGTCTTCTTGAAGAAAACAATAATCCTAACTAAGTTTCAAGGCGTAATAAACTAGGATTATTATAACTTACTTTTTGCTTCATTGATATATAGTGTCAATGTTCGGATCGATCCTAATTCGTCTAGTTGGGAACTCTTTAGTCTACCGGTTGTGAGTATCTACTGCAAGGTATGCGACAGTCACGTTGGCGAGAAATTTGTAAGTTCCTTTCTGTTTACAAACACTATCTGCGTGCCTCTATAAACCTATATATATTGATATATTTGTGTTGCACTTAATGTTTCCAGATTGAGCATAATCTGCCTAACCATATCCCTACTGAGTTTGATGGGAAGTTTTTACTTCATTCGTAAGTTCCTTTTTCCCATATTCTGAAATAAAAGCTACTATAATGACATTAGAAGGTTGTTCTCTGAATGAAAGTGGATGCTTCAGGGCCCGGATGCTGTATTGGGATGGAACCCGGTTGATTTACGCTGACAGTCGCGTGCCAGTCGACTAGTCGAGGATGACTGAATCGATCCCTCCGGTCAAAGTTTACTGAGAATGCAGATTCTGCGAGAAACAACTGCTGCTGGTTTTTGTTTTTCATTTTAGCTTCCTTTTCTGTTTGTGAGTTTGGTACTAGTGTAACTGCTGTTAGAACAACGATTTTACAGTGGAAGCCATTTCTTTTGTACGAGGACACATGTTCAACATAGTTTAGCATATAATAATTGGTCATTTAAGGATTTATATCTCGTCTTTCTTATAAAAGCTAATTACGTTCATGTATTTTGTATGTGACATAGAAAACACCATTTTGAGCCCAAATCTAATCAGCAATCGGAGCCCATAGCTTAGAGATTCTAATTTAGTTTTTAAATATTAGGATTGTCGTAAAGAATTATTTGAGCCTTGACTCTAATTTATTAGAACCAACGCTTGGTATAATTATTTTTTTTATAAAATAAGATTAGAGCCTACAACATCGCATCATTATAAGGTAAGAATATCGTAATTTATTTATATCATTATCAAACAACTTAAGAATTATCGTGGAGGACCTAAAAAGCTAGTATTGTCAGTGTCATAATTGGCAATCAATCTAATCATCTCTTGTTTTTGACAATCACGCAGCACATGTAAACTCGTTTAGTCTTTTAAGGACACAGTTTGTTAATAGTTTGCAATATTGTAATCCCACATTATGATATATGTTTAAGGGTTCGTTGTTGTGCTTGAGAGTTATGATATATACTCTTTGTGCTTGGTGTATATGGTTGAATTGTGATTTATCAAGCATCAGATTGCGTATAATGGACAGCAAAATAAGTTTTTAGCGACGTTTTTTTAATCATATAGCATCGTTTATAAGTGCCTCTAAAAACTTCCTCGGCGCTTACAAAAACGCCGTAAGAAGTGTCGCTATAATGAACGCCGTAATTGTTAGTTGTGTTTGTGGGGGGAACACCGCAATAAGTCGCGACATATAGTAGTGTTTGTCTTTACAAACGCCGTTATTGATTGTGTATTTAATGGCATTTGTATTTAAAAACGCCACAAATGAGCCAATTATTAGTGGCATTTTCATCGAAAAACGCCGCAAATGGCACTAGTAGGAGTAGCTGCATAAGTTGCATAAAACACCGTTAAAGACAATTCTTTACACCCACAGTAATAATAAATTCTACAAATCAAAACATATATTTCATTTATTAAATAAAAACAAGTAACTTGAAACTAAAAGGATGGAAAACATTAATATCACAAAAATACATATAAATGTATACATATGTGTTACATATACTAGAAACAAAAAAGTAAACTAGTTGCATGGGTATTTTCACGCTTCCAACTTATAACCCTAATATCCAATGGTTACCGAATAAAGCATACACTAGAAACATTAAGCTTACCGAATAAAGCATGTGCAAGGCTATTATTTTCCATGTATTCATATACCGACAACAGTTGAGTTCCCTCAACGCAACATCCATACAACCTAACAACATTCGGTGTTGTAAGCCTGAAATCACGGCTAGTTCATTCAGGAATTCTAGATCTCCTTGTCTTGATTTTGAAGAAATTTTTTAATTGCAATTACAGTACCATCAAGCAATACACCCTACAGGAGAGGTATGACATAGAATCCTGTTAAATATTCATCACATATTACGTACTCCTAAACGTCTTATATTCAATATAGATAAAGCAAGTACTGCGGGTACCTTGTAGCCAGCTCCAAAACCACCTTCTCCAATTTTATTTGCGGTGTTGAAGTTGTTTGTAGCAGCTTCCATTTGTCCAAAGCTAAAAAAGCCAATATGCAGATCTAATGCCCTCAAGACTTGGAAAAGATTGGGGGAACCAATTCAATTGCACATTCAATAAGCTTGCAAAACATGCATTCGTTTAAATAGATTTTCTTAGAGAAATTATTTGAGAGTATAAAATTGAAGTTTATCAGAGTACCTTCTTTGCTAATTACCTTGAACAAACAGAGCAATACGAACATCAATCTTAATTTTGAGATAAAATTAACAATCACAATTACACAAAATAACAAAAGAAATCCCCATAGATCAAAATTGAATCAATTCTAAAGAAACCCCAGGTGAACTAATGATTTCAGAAAAATTCCAAAGCAGATGAGGGTCAAAATCGAAAATTGAACTCAAAAAACTGAAGAGGAAGTGAAGAGAAAAAACGGAAAAGCGTACGTTGAAGTCGTCGCCAATGGAATCCATCACCTTGTTGGCTCTCTTGCCCAGCCAATAGGAGCCAACCTTATTCAATATCTGATCCATTTCTGATAATGTCTGCTCGGATTCTCTCTGTCTCTCTCTCTGCGTCGAAAGAGATGGAAGAGAAAGATTAGTATCTAAGGGATGGTATTTAGAGAGAGATTTATCTTTCGTAATTATCTCTAACCTTATGGATGTTAGATGGAAGATTCTTAATCTTAGCCGCGTGATCGACATACCTTATGGTTGGCAGTTGGCGATTGGAAACTGGCAACGGCAGCGTGAGGCTGCGCTGGTGGAGAAGGTTGCACGGTAGGAAGGTTAGGAACGATAAGAAGAAAAATGGGTAGGAAAATTAGGGATTTGGAACGATGGGTATTAAATGGTTCAAAATTTAGCGGCATTTGATCTATAAACGCTGCTACAAATACCGCTACAGTACCATTTTGCTGTAGTGACAACCTGGTAATTTGAAGGTTAATATGTTATTGAATCTTCCAATAATAATTTTGGTTTCTCTTCTTTTTAACATATAGTATAGATATATTGTTTTATTTTCATGTGGTTTATATTTTAGCAGTGTTAAATTCCTGGATCCTTTACAGAATGACAGTTATAACTGACAAAAAGAAGTCATAGGTCATACTCATATGCTTTTATTTTCATTATATAAAACCCCCTTGAACCATTCCCATTTCTCCTCCAATCCATTTCAGCAAATCAAAACCTGTAAGAACTCATAATCAAGAATCCACTTGTTGCCTTTTATCTATTGTGTTATCCCTCTCAGGTCTGGAGTTTTTAATATATCTTTTGGCGTTTCTTGGACTCAGGTGGAACAATCGAGGTACATTCATTCGCTCAACTTCTTTTTAATCTTTGTGCTTCATTGATTTATAGTGACAATGTGCAGACCGATGATATGATGTCTCCTCGGTTACAATACCGTAAGCCAGTGCCAGTGGCGAGTGTCAGCTGCAATGGATGCAACAATTACATTGGCGTGAGGTTTGTAAGTTCTTCCTTTACATTGTTTACAAACACTGTCTGAGACAGTGCCTTAATACCACAGCGCAAACACTGTCTGAGACAGTGCCTTAATACCACAGCGATGAATCGAGGGGAGTAAGTGGAGTGTTGCTCCCCTGAAAATTTCTATTGATAATCTCTTTTCGCCGCTTATAATTTTGTCCTGCACTTACCGTTATTAGGTTGTGACTGATCCGCCTAACCAGGGTATACTTGAAGGATGGTATCTGTTTCATTTGTAAGTTGGTTCTTGCCTTCAAATATTCAGAAATAAGCATGAAATTAGAAGATGTGTTCTTGAATAAAAATTACGGCTGCAGGGACCGGATACTGTTTTTCGATGGAACCCATTTGAATTATGCGGACACAAACAGGGTAGTGGTCAACAATGAATGAGTTTCCTCAAGTCGAAGTTCACTAAGAATGTAATTTCTACGAGGAAACCAACTGTTGCTGCTTTTGTTGTTCATTTCCGATTAGTACTACCTTTTTTTGGGTTCAATTTAGTGTAGTACATTTTATGGTTCATAGTCATTGCTTCTGCAGTTTGCAAGCCTCATATAGTAATGCCTGCAATATAAATCTGTTTCAGCTTTTCTTCTTCATCTACTCGCTTCTTTCCTCCTTGGTTTAGATAAACCCTACTGCATAATAAAATTGAAATTAAGTACATATTATGCTTCTCTACAAGATTTTCAAAATAAGCAAAGTGTGTTTACAATTTTACCAACTTTTGAAACAAGTACTACTCTAAATGATAATTAAAAGTGCTATAATGCAAACAAATACTCAAAAGACGGCTAAATTTCTAGTCTGAAAACAAGAATAATAACTCTCGAGAGGTATTACTTAGTATCAGCACCTTACGTTGAGGTATCGCCATCATATGTTATTTAATAGTTATTTTTTCTTTCAAGTCATGTTTTGATATTGATATTTTGATGGGCATTTTATAATTTGGAGGTCTTCTACGGAAGATGCTCTCAACATGGTGTTGGGGGCAGCCTACTATCTTACCTCCCCTTATCCCGTTACATATGGGAACAAGGGACAGCTAACAAATTTTGATGGGAGTATTGAAGCCATAATTATTTAAAGTCTATTTTCTATTTTTTAGCTTTATTCTAGTATCAACTCCCAAATAAGAATATGAATACCGTAATTTATTTTGAATTGTTCTTCTTATGAGTCTAATATTGATATTGATATACATATAAGAGGTATTGATATCAGTAACCAATTAAATTTATTTATATTTCAAGTCTAGTTTAAGTATTGATATCAAAGTAGGAGTATCGATAGCTAACGTGAGATATTAATATCTTAATATTATGAGAAATTGTTTGAGATTTCAAATTTCATTTAGATATATATATCCCTTATATGATATCAATTCCATAATATATCCTTATTAAGATAGAGATTGAATAAATAGTGGACTTGTGTAAGTTTTAATCGATCAATGGAATATCCCTAACTTGGTTTCAATCTAGATTGGACAAAGGGCGTTTCATGTGAAATACTTATTATACAATATTCTGCCAATGCGAACGCTAACGTCATTTTGTGAAAATAGATGCCAATTTTATGGCCAAGAAGCGGCTAATGATCACTTCTTAGACTCTGATGATGAGTTTTTAGTTTTTACCATTATCATTGAGGTGGCAGGCATCTTCCAAATATCATTGGGCCGAGATTTTAGATAGCACTATAAGCTCTCTTTTCTTTTTGACCTTTTTAGGGTTATTTATAAGTTTTATTATATAAGTGTTCAAACTATATCATTTTTAACAAATAATTATCTAATTTTTTTTTAAATCATCTAGGTGTTTAATATTAAAAATATTATAATTTTAAGTGCCCAGATATAACGACCGTTAGAAAAATTCTGTTAAATGACACTTTGGTAATTTTGAAAAAAATTATTTAAAATAAAAAAATGTTTATTAAAAAATCAAAAAAATAAAAGTCTTAAAAAAACCTCAAACTTTGAAAATCTTTATTTCAATCGTTATACTCATGTTGGGCTTGGCCACCCCGTTCGTCGGCGTAGTCATCAACGAACCTCCACCCGATCAAACCGCCATCGATAACATAGCCACCCGAACCCATAATCAATGATTTAAACTCAACAAAAATAATACCGGAATCACAAATTTACTACCTGACTATTTCGATGACAACCACGACAACATGGACAAGGATGATTGATAATGAGATGGCAAGAACGATGTCAACGATGACGATTGTGTCAGTAAGGGAGGTTAGGGCTAGGGTTTGGGATTTGGAATTTTTAGAAATTTGAGGTTCTTTGTAATTTAAAAAATGGATTTTTTTTATAAATATAATTATTTTATTTTATTTTTAAAATCAACATTATCAAAATGTGACATATGTCACTTAACGGAATTTATTAACAACTGTCACCAGCCGTGCATCTAAATGGGGAAAAACGGTATATTTTGAGCACTTATTTTATAATTAAGCATTCTTTATATTAGGGGTAAATAAAATTCGATTCGATTTAAAAAATCATATTTTTATTTGATTTGATTTTAATCAACTTGTAATTTTATAAAATTGACTCAAAAAATTTACATTTGAGTCGATTATAAAACAAAACTTGAATAATTAAAAAAATTAGTAATTAATAGATTTTTAAGTTCGATTCAAGCCCCTCAACTCTATGTGGTATATGTATATCATATAATATATATATATATATATATATATATATATATATATATAGGATTATAAAAATTTATTTAAATTAAAATAAAATAATATAATAATATTATAAAGATTTACAATTAAATTAAAAGAGAGACTATAACAACTTGACAAGACTCGACTAAAAAAAGTTCAAATAAAATTTAAATTATAAAATATAACTTATCAACTAAATTTTTTTTAATCTATCTCGACTCAATAAAATACTTACCCTTACTTACAATAATTTTCATGGGAAGACAAGTGTGTATCAAAAGAATACAAGAAGGAAAATTAACAGTTTGAGGTACTTGTTTTTATTGTTTGTTACAATTGAAAGTTGGATTCTTAGAATCTCGTAGTTTAATGTCATTTCCTAATTTAACAAAGGTACTTATTAGTGGAAAACCCACAGCCGCCCTCCCCACCTCCAGGGACTGCCGTGAAAGATTAATAAAATAACATTTTTTAACTTAAGAGAGTAAAATTTAGATTCTCATAAAAAGATTGCAAAATAAACGGTTCGTAGAATCTTCAAAAGACAATGGATGAAGCCATATTTTCCGTTCCTTGTTTTGCTCATCAAAATGGTTTTTTTTAGGAATGGTAACGGGACGGGTTTGGAGAAGGTTTGGTCCCCCGTCCCCGAAATGAATCCTTGTCCCTCCGTTTTCCGTCGAGTTTTTTATCAGGCGTCCCACGAGGATTTTTTTTGTCCCATCCCCGAACTCAACCCGAAATATTGTACCCGATTCTGAGTAAAACCTATCAGCCGTAGTTTTCATAAAAAATAGAAAAAACGATCACAAAAAACTGAAAAATTAGTCTACATGATTTACAATTCAAATTACAGTCATAAATTCAAACTCAATTATAAATAATTGTCTAAACTCCAAAACAAAACACATACATAATTAAATACAAACTTGTTCCGATATTCAAATTATACAACGAAGATGCATACGTAATATTAAGTCAAATAAAGTCATCCTAAATCATCGTGCTACTTTTGTCACTTTCTTTAGTAGCTTCCTACTTTGAGAAATTTATCAATAAATCAACCAAAATATTATATATAATTAATATAAAAATAATATATATATATATAATCGGGGCGGGATGGGATGGGGATACCTTACCTCGAACCCGAACCCGAAAAAATCTCTAAATTTTACCCCGATACCTGACCCGACCCAATATTATTTAAACCCAACCGAACTTAGCCGGATTTCAGATTTTCCCATCGGATTCGGGTCGTTCTATCCTTCCTAGTTTTTTTCTTGAGAGTACTTTCTCAGTTAAAATGATTACAGAAATCTTTATATATATATTTACAGTCTTTTTAATAATTAATAATTACTATGAAACTGTAATTTCTTTTGAGTTGTTCCTTCTTCATAAGAAAAATATTTCCATCCACCATAGATTGTCTCTCGTCCATATTCATTGTATTTTGTGGTTTTTCTCTAACACTGAAAATGGCAATTCATATACAAGACATTATTGTGTTGTGTTTTGCTGGCGCATCCGCCAACATCCTCATTAGAAATTATTGACTTTTTAATTAATATAAGTTTATACATTCTTATATGAATCCGATTCATCTGCAGTTTTGTTTACAACTT